GTCATCTTCAATTTATTTTATTAGTGTTTTATTGTTTTATGTTGAACATTCTTTCTATATCAATTTTTTGAGAGTTTTTATCATGAAAGGATGTTGAGTTTTGTCAAACCTTGAATTTTCATATAAATTTTAGGATCAACTTGTCAATTTCTACAAAAAATAAAAATTTAGGATTTTTTTTTTTTTTGAGACAAAGTCTTACTTTCTTGCCCAGGCTAGAGTGAGTGCCATGGCATCAGTTGGCTCACAGCAACCTCAATCTCCTGGGCTCAAGTGATCCTCCTGCCTCAGCCTCCCAAGTAGCTAGGACTACAGGCATGCACCACCATGACCAGCTAATTTTTTGTATATATATTTTTAGTTGGTCAATTAATTTCTTTCTATTTTTGGTAGAGACAGGGTCTCACTCAGGCTGATTTTGAACTCCTGACCTTGAGCAATCCGCCCGCCTCGGCCTCCCAGAGTGCTAGGATTACAGGTGTGAGCCACCACAAAAAAAAGCCTGGCTTAGGATTTTTTTTATATATATTTATTTTACATTTAATCTTTACTTTTTCTTTTTAGGCAATGGACTGATGGAAAAATTTAGGATTCTGACAGGGATTGCACTAACTCTGTAGATCAATTCAGGGTTAATCCCATCTTAATCATATTAAGTCTTCTAATCCAGGAACGTGAGACATCTTCCCATTTATTTAGGTGTTCTTGATTTCTTTCAGCAGTCATTTATAGTTTTCTCAGTATAAGTTTTGCACTTTTCTGATAAATATATTCCTGAGTATTGTATTCCTTTTGATGCTATTGTAAATTGAATCTTTTAAAAATTTCATTTTCAGTTTCTTCATTGCTACTATTTAGAAATACAACTGATTTTTGTATCTTGATCTTGTACCCTGCAACCTCAGTGACCTCATTTACTAATTCTAATTGGTTTTTGTTGTTGTTGTTGTTTTTGTTTATTTGGGGTTCTTTTTTGTTTTTTTTGGAGACAGAGTCTTGCTTTGTTGCCCAGGCTAGAGTGAGTGCCGTGGCGTCAGCCTAGCTCACAGCAACCTCAATCTCCTCGGCTCAAGCGATCCTCCTGCCTCAGCCTCCCGAGTAGCTGGGACTACAGGCATGGGCCACCACGCCTGGCTAATTTTTTCTATATCTGTTGGCCAATTAATTTCTTTCTATTTTTAGTAGAGATGGGGGTCTCACTCTTGCTCAGGCTGGTCTTGAATACCTAACCTTGAGCTATCCTACCACCTCCGCCTACCAGAGTGCTCTAATAGTTTTTTAGTAGATTCCTTAGGGTTCCCTATATACAGGTTCACATTATCTGCAGAAAAAGATAGTTTTACTTCTTCCTTTCCAATATGGATGCCTTTTATTTCATTTTCTTTCCTAATTTCTCCGGCTAATACCTCCAGTACAATGCTGAATAGAAGTGATGAGAAGTGATTTCGTCTCCCTGTCTCTACACTTACCTCAAGCAAAGCAGCCAGAGGAGCCCCTTTAAAAACAAGTCATTTAGCTACAGGAATATGGATGTTAAAATAAATAAATAAATAAATAAATAAATAAATAAATAAATAAATAAAAACAAGTCACTGTGTGACACTCTTCTCTCAGAACCCTGTAGCGGTTTCCCATTGCACTCACAAATAAGACCCTTGTCCTTGTTAGCGCCCTACCCACTCTGGCCCAGCTGTCTCCCTCCTTTCATCTCCTGGTACCCTCCTTGCTCACATGTTCCAGGAGCACTGGTTGACTTGGTGGCTTCCAAACCTCTCCAGACTCCTTGTCTTTCCATTTCCTGGACTCTTTCCTGGGCTACTCCTTCCCTGGATTTCCATATGGCTTATTGCCTCATTTGTACCCATGGTACTTGAATTTCTGGAGGTGTCTAGGTGACAACACAAAGAGGTCAATGCCATTCAAAAAAAAAAAAGTTGAGTGTTACTCACAGTGTTCCTAGGAACAAGAGGTACTGCATGCCATGCAGGGCCACATGGAGAAACACCAAGTTTGGTCAGGAGGCAGAAGCAGGATCTGGGAAAGCTTGGGCCAGATCCTTTATTGGGGTTTCTGTGGGAAAGGTGAGGCAGAGTGGGGTGAACAGTTCAGGATTAGCTAGTTTGAATAATTCTGCTGAGCTTTGGGGTATTGAGGCTGTCCCTATTGTCTGGTGCCTCACCTCAGAGTGTGCTGATTTAGAGTAGGGGAAACATTTCCTTGGAGTGTTTGATAAAACAGATGGTTGGGAGAGTGGGTACTAATCTGGTTAGTTTGCATATAAAAGATACCCTCTCAGGGATCCCTTTGCTCTTTATAAGAAGAATTGGCTAGCTCTAGGAGGGGCAATCTAGCCAGCAAGATCACAAATGCCAGACTGTTAAGAATAAAGAAAATAAGAAAAGATGGTTAGGCCAGGTGCAGTGACTCATGCCTGTAATCCCAGCACTTTGGGAGGTTGAAGCAGGAGGATTGCTTGAGGTCAGGAGTTCAAGACCAGCCTGGGCAACATAGTGAGACCCTGTCTCTACAAAGACTTGTAAATATTAGCCAGGTGTGGTGGTGTGCACCTGTAGTCCCAGCTACTCAGGAGGCTGAGGCGAGAAAATTGCTTGAACCCAGGAGTTCATGGCTGCAGTAAGCTATGATCACTCTACTACAGTCCAGCCTGGGTGACAGACACCCTATCTCAAAAAAAAAGAAAAGAAAATATGGTTAATACAGTTGGCCCTCTGATGAATAGATGCCAAATAGACAAATTCAGTATCTAAGAAAACATAGTTAGAACACTTATTTCCTTATTTCATATAAGCAATGGTTCTCACATATTTTTGGTTTCAGGACAACTTGGCACTCTTAATTATTGAGAGACGGTGGGTTGCAGTGGCTCATGCCTGTAATCCTAGCATTTTGGGAGGCTGGGGTGGGAGGATCACTTGAGGCTGGGAGTTGTGACCAGTCTGAGCAACCTAGCGAGACCCCCATCTCTACAGCACATATGATAGAAAAATTAGCCAAGTGTGGTGGCCATGCCTCTAGTTCCAGCTACTTAGAAGGCAGAGGCAGGAAGACTGCTTGAGCCCAGGAGTCCATGGCTGCAGTGGGCTGTGACTGTGCCACTGCATTTCAGCCTGAGTGACAGAGTGAGAGCCTATCTCAAAATTAAAAAAAAAAAGAAAGAAAGAACCCAAATATCCATCAACTGATGAACAGATAAACAGAATGTGGTATACCCATATAATGGAATAGTATTCAGCCACATAAAGGAATGAAGCCCTGACACAGGCTGCAGCATGGTTGAGCATTGGGAACATTGTGTTAAGTGAAAGAAGCCAGATGCAAAAGACCATTTATTGTGTGATTCCATTTATATGAAACATCCAGAATAAGTAAACAACAGGAACAAAAAGTAGATTGTTGGTTTCCCGGGGATGGGGAAGAGGGAATAAGGAATGACTGTTAATAGGTATGGGATTTCTTTTGAGGGTGATGAAAATGCTCTAAAACTGATTGTGATGATATATGTAACATCTTTGAATTATATAATTTTATGAGTGAATTATAAGGAATGTGAATTATATCTCAATTAAGCTACTTTGTTAAGAACAAAAGAAAGCTGGCGAGGGCTGAGGCTGCAGCAATCGAGTGGTGAGGAGTGTCTGGATTTGGATCAGCAGTGAGCACAGGAGCACAGCAGCATCCTGGAGCAGGGAAGGGCACCAGGGTGGGCTAAGCCCATGGGCCCAGGTGCAGCTTGGCGGGGACCTGGGAAGGGTGCCTGTTGAAGTTCCCTCCCACTACTAGTAGGGTCTCGGTGGAGTCAGGAGGAAGGTCACCACAGAGAGTGAGCAAGGAGGTGGGGAATTGTGGTCTGTGTCCAGAAGCACAAGGTGCATTGATGGGGAAGGAATCAGTCCACAGTGACAACACCTGGAGCCCACCCGGGGTCAGCGGTCAGGAAGGTCAGTGAAAGCAGGCAGCAGGGTGAAGTGCCGTTCCCACACTGCCATGCGCTGCTGGTGTCTGCGTGTGCAGAGGGAGGGGTGAACAGGGCTTGGAAGCAGACACTTAGACAATAATACAAATGTTAAGTGAAAAACAAGCGACGCAACTTCCACAGTACATCTCACCTCTGTCAGAGTGCCATGCATGCGTGTTACAGGCATTTTGGAGACCGAGCTCGTGTGGACACTGCCCCTTCTCTCCTCCCCTGCCCGCCTGCACCAACTGAGCCCATGGGCGCGTGCTTCTGGCCCCCAGAAGGACGGGGTCTGCAGACTGTTTCAGGAGCCCAGTGCCTAGAAGGGACTGATGGCAGCTGGGGGAGTGTTGGTGGAAATTCGTCCCTTCTGTGACCAGCCAGCAGGGTTTGGGACATAGCTGACTTCTGTCCTCACCTTAGCTGACTCCGGGTTCAGAGGTCTGAAGTGTCTGGAGATGATGCCTATGGCGTGGACACATCAGCTGGGGCCACAGCTAGGGGCCTGCTGGTCATGGACGATTGGGAGACAGAGGCAAAGGGAGGAGTGCAGAGGGACCCCCAAAAGACCGTGCCTGTCAGGCCCATAGAACAGCCCCAGCAGCCCCCAGGAATGCTGGGGGCCAGGTGGAAGGGGCGGGGGGGATGGTGCTGACGCAGTAGCATTTGTCCAAATTCCTGCAGTGGGGTCTAGGGCTGTTGGGATGTTACACATGGGATACCAAAAGAACATACACTAAAATACACTAGAAATAGTTTTTTCTGGAAGGTAGGATCAAAGTATATTTTATTTAATTCTATTTATTTATTTTTATTTTTATAATAAGTATGGGCCAGGCATAGTGGCTCACGTCTACAATAGTAGCACTTTGGGAGGCTGAGGCAGGAGGATCGCTTGAGCTCAGGAGTTTGAGCAAGAGTGAGATCCCGTCTGGTGGCGCATGCCTGTAGTCCCAGCTACTCAGGAGGCTGAGGCAGTAGGATTGCTTGAGCCCAGGAGTTAGAGGTTACAGTGAGCTATGATGACTCCACAGCACTCTAGCCTGGGCGACAGAGCAAGTCTCTGTCTCAAAACAAAACAAAAACAAGTATGCATTATTTTTGTGACAAATAAAAAAACCAATAAAAGCTATTTTTTAAAATTCTAATACCATTTGCCAAGTCTGGGAGAGGGCCAGAGTTGGGCCTGGGTAGAACCTAGGGCGGGGACTGGGCAAGGCCTGTGGTGGAGCCTCAGAGGAGCCTGGGGTCCCGGTGGACCAGTGAGGCTGTGACTGACTGAGCCCGGCCTGTGCAGTGCTCCCAGCCAGGAGCAGCAGCGCAGCCAGGCTTCCGGGCATCTGTGCTGGGAGGCGAGTGGGGAGGGAAGGGAGGCAACAGGAGGCCCGCTGGGAGCCACTGTGCTGGTCCCAGGTCGAGGTGGCAAGGTGGACAGGGACAGAGCAGTCTTCGTGCCACGTCTAGCTCACCTCTCCTGACCTCTGACCCTGCATGTTGGTGTGCACGTTAATCACCACCCCGCACCCCGTGTCCTGCTCTTTGCCCCTCCCCCTTCACTGCTCAGCATGGGACCAACTCAGAGGGAGACCCTGGGCCTGGGGAAACCAGCCAGCTGAGCAGCCAGATTCTCTCAGAACTTGAAGAAACGTGCAAAGATTGAGCTGTCAGCAAGAAGCAAAGGTGAGAGTTGAATGGGGCCATGAACTTGGCCAGCCAGGCCAGGCCAGGAGCCAGACTACAGGGGAGCAGCAGCTTCAGGAGGTGGAGTGTGGGAGCAGCGGAGAGAAAACAAACGGGAAGACAGGGAGGACGGCTTTTTCATAAGCAGATCAGAGAGGATCCCCAAGATATTTGCAACCAAAAGAACAAAACTATGCCCAGGGGACCCTGGTGTGAAGTGGCCATCCCCCCTCCCACTCCCACCCTGCTCTGCCACCTGCTTGCTGTCACCCTGCAGGGAAGGCCTCAGCACCTGCCTCTTTCCCCCCAAACCTCACCCATGGCCAAAGGGACCCTTGTGGGAAGGTGGCCTTGGTGACTCAGTTGCCCAGGGAGACCTGCAGGGAGAGTGGCCAGAGCCACCGCCTGCTCGGACCCTCCGTCTGCCTCACCTGCACAGTTGCCAGGTCTCCACCATGTGCTTTCAGACATCTCCCTCCTCTCTGCCCACAGCCCATTGCTGAAAAACAAAACTCCAACAAGTTTAGTTTAAACGCCAAATTGGCTTTTATCAGTGATCTATGAATCGGGCAGCATCTCACGGGGGATTCCGAAAAGGCACTCCAATGAGCAGAGGAGCTTGGCTCTGTAGGCAGAAAAGGGCTGAAGAAAGTAGAAACAGGGAACAAAAAGGATCATTTTAGAGCTACTTTCTTTTTCCCTTTGTTTTTTCCAGACATGGTCTCACGCTGTCGCCAGGCTGGAGTGCAGCGGCAAACCTCAGTAAAGTTACTTTCCTTATAGGGTTAAAACAGGGGACTTTCTTGTCATGCCATGCTTGTCATGCCAGCTCAGGAAAACTGGGACCCTTTTGATCGCCACTGTGAATCTCCTGTTTCTGGGAAAACCAGCCCTTTCAGAGTTCACTGGGACGTTGTGGCACCAGCGTGAGTGACTCCATTCTGCCTTGGTCTGGTCTGCTGGGCCCAGCGCAGGAGCTCAGTTCAAAATAGTGGCCTCCCCCCAACGGCATGTGACAGCCCCTGGCTGACAGCCTGCTCACTCTGCGTCTGACCACAGCGCCTGTCCTTGGCCCCTCAGTCCAGCGAGCCCCGACTGGCCTCTCGGACCCCTCGCCCTGCATCGCGGTGTGCTCATCCCACCTGCTTGATTTGGGGGTTGGCGGCTCCCCTCTGCCTACAGTGTAAGCCATCACACATCTATAAAACAGGCAGTCGTTAAGGATATTTTAAAGACTTAAATAATTTTTTCTGAATCCACAAATAATGCATAATTCGGTCCATTTCCTTCCTGTCATTTTTTATGCCTTTTAAAATACTTTTTTAGATTGTAGTGCCCCAGAGCATTCTATCTACACACACACTCTCTCTCTCTCTTTTTGTAGTTTTGGTTTAACTTTGTGAGGCTTAATTGCCAACCCATGACCCTCCACCTGGAAATACTTCCCTTTGACAATCTCCTAAGAGCAAGGGTGTTCTCCCATATCCCCAGTGTGGTTATTTACATCCATTCAACGTTATAATATTATCTAATCTCTAGACTATAATCAAATTTTCCCAATTGCCTCAACAATGCCTCCCCACCCAGTCTAGTTGTGGCATTTACTTCTCCTATGTTCCTTGTGTCCCTACTCTAGACACGTCCCAGGCCTGACAGGCTCTGGGCCGGTTCTGGAGACCAAGCTTCTGTCTGAGTTTGCCTGGTTGTTTTCTCATGACCAGATTCAGATTGAACATTCCCACCTGCAACTTCAACACAGGGGATTCTAAGTCTTCTCTCTGAGTATCACATCAGCACACAGGATGTTGCCTGGTCACACTCTTGATGGTGTTGACTTTGGTCATTTGGTTAAGGTGGTGTCTGACCAATGCCATTATTATAGAAGTTCTTTTCTCCCTTGTAATGAATTAGAGGCTTGTGGAAAGAATGTATACTCCATACATGCTTCTTTAGAAATGAACGTGTTGGCATCATACAACTTTGTATCTTGTTTTCAATTTAGCAAATTGTGAATGTCTTCTCATACCATTAAATATTCTTAAAAAACACAATTTTGGGTGCTGTGTAGACTCCATCTTATGGGTGTGTTCTACTTAACTACCACCTGATTGAATTATTAGCTTAACATAAGCACCACAGCAGTGAGGATTTCTGTCTTTCTCACTGACATATTTCCAGCACTGAGAATGGCATGTCTGGTATATAATATGAGTTCAACAAAAATTTGTTGAATGAATGAATACAGCTCATGTCTAGTTTTTCAGTATCACAGATAATGTCACAACAAACATCCTTATAAATAAACCATTGAAGTATTTATTTTATAAGGATTACAGATGATGTTTATAAGAAAGGAAATGTTTATGTTGATAATGTGAAAAAATAAGAATGCAAAAATCATATGCATGGCATAATCTCTACTACATAAAGATATGCAGAGAGAACCATCTGGAAGAAAATAGAACAAATAATTAACAGAGACTATCTCTGAACATTCAGTGAAAGGTTTTAGTTTATTTTGAATATTTCTCTGTGTTTTCCACAAGTAGAATATGTTACTTAAATGCAGAGAAGCAGCAGCAACTGTTTCTTTTTAAAGTTAGCTTTGCAAATGGAGAATAGGTAAAACTATGCATGCTAAGCAGCCAGCCATAATAAAGAGGGATACTGGTTAAAAACCAAATTCAGATTTGGGCCACATTGACCTTTGGAGAGTGTCAACTTGCAGGAGCCCCAGGACGCTGTGCTAGGTTCACTACATTTAGGATATCAGGTTCCCTTCCTGGTGTCACATTTTAAAAGGGATATTGTCTAACTGGTGCCTGTCTTAAGGACAGTGGCCAGTTGGTATGGGGTCTGGAAATCATGTTACTGTTAACACTTAAGGAACTGGGCACATTGTTCTCTAAAAGATGACTAGTGGGGAATGACAAGTTTCTTCTAATATTTGAAGAGCTGTCAAATAGCGAAGTACGATTTCTTATTTTATGCCATTTTAGAGGGAAGGTTTCAGAAAGGCAGATTTTTCTAGTAAATAAAGAAGACTTTCCTAACAATTCATAAGGTAAAAAATGAAAAAATTCTCTAGAAAGGTGTGGACACCAGACAGCATCTCCCGGGGGTGTTGGGCAGGAATTGCTGAAGCAGGTTGGGGTGACAGAGCTGCCTGTACTGAGGACACCCAGGAACCTTGGAGTGGCCACTCCAGGCCTCCTCTGGGAACCTGCCTGCAACCCCGGCAAACACACAGCCTCTTCCGAGACAGAAGAAGGGTCAGTGTCCCCTGGGGCCCTCCACCTCCTTCATTCAGGTCTCTTCTTCAGGACCAGATCCCCAGAGAATTTTTCCCTCATTCCCATCACCCCCTATCCTCTGGTCTTGCTTTATTTTTCTTCTTATCACTATCCCTGATGGACACATTGTTACCTGTTGAGTCATTTCCTTTTGTTTGTCCCCTCTAGCATGCATGTTCCAAGGGCAAGGGGCCTCACTGTCCTGGTCCCTGGGCACAGACCAGTGTTCACAGAGCCCAGACAGTGACTGTCATGCCACAGGCCTGCTACAGTCACTCAATGAACTAATGATTCCTGAAAGAAACAGAACACAGAATTCAGGCGCAGCCTTCAGGGAAGAAATTTCAGCAATGTCAGAAATTGTGAAGTCTCCATCAACTGATGAATGGACAGGCTAAATGTAGTATATGCACACAATGGAATATTATCCAGCTGTAGAAAGGAAGGAAATTCTGACACAGCTACAACATGGGTGGACCTTGAGGGCATTATGCTAACTGAAATAAGGCCGTCACAAAGAGATAAATCCTGTATGATTCCACTTATATGAGGGCCCTAGAGTAGTCAGATTCATAGAGACATAAAGTGGAATGGTGGTTGGCAGGGGCTGGTGGGAGAGAAGAATGGGGAGTTCGTGTTTAACGGGTATGGAGTTTCAACTTGGGAAGATGACAATGTTCTGGAGCTGGATGTTGGTGATGGTTGCAAAACAATGTGCATGTACTTAATGCCACAGAACCGTACACTTGAAAAATGGTAAAGACGGTTGATTTTATGTGTATTTTACCACAATAAAAAAATTAGTCTCAGCTATTCGGGAGGCTGAGGTAGGAGGATTGCTTGGGCCCAGGAGTTTGAGGCCATAGTGAGCTATGGATCATGCCACTGCACCCCACCCTAGGCGACACACAGGCTATTTCATCTGGCTAGAAGAGCTCGATAGTGACTTTAAGAGTTTTCAGGAGGCGGACCTACGGGATGCGAGAACTCAGTTTGTTAGGTTAAGTCTGGCTTTCCGTTTTAACGGGGGGGCCACCTGAGTACCTAAGGAGCCCCCTTCCCTAAGTGGCACCCTCAGTCTCAGCCTCCCTGCCGTGTCTGGCCCACCAGGCTGGGGCAAAGGACTCCCCAGGAGGCAGCGGCGACACCCAGCGGGGTCCGAGAGCGATGCAGCCGCGGACTGGACGGAGCGGGGGAGGGTAACTCCTCCGCCGGCCCCGCTCGAGCGTCCAGACCCTGCCACCTCCGCCAGGCCGCACACGGGCTCCGCGGCCCCGGCCCCCGCCGGCCTCCTCTCGGCCCCGCCCCGGCACCGTAGTCCCGCCTCTTCCCCGGCCCCGCCCCCGCCAGGCCCCGCCCACTCCGCCAGCTCCGTTCCGCCCCGCCCCGGCGGACAGCTAGCAGGAAGCGCGCGGTGGCTCCGCCGACGCCGCGTTCGGAAAGGTGTGGAGGGGCCAGGGGGCGCAGGTCGCGGTCAGGCCGCGTCTCCCGACCGTCCGGCTGCCTGCAGCCCCGGCTCCACCCCGCCGCTCTTGGAGGTGCAGGCCCGCGGCTCCCCCTGCCCCGAGCACCAGCTCGGGGCTCCGCTGCTCTGGCCTGGGAGGCGGGGCCGGCGGCGCGGCGTCATGCATATGCATGAGCGGCGCGGCGGCGGCTCCATTGTGCCCTCCGAGCGGGCGGCGGCGCGATGGCGCGGGCGGCCCCGGGGCAGCGGGCGGCGCGGAGGGCGGGCTGAGCGCATGGAGCGGCGCGGGTCGAAGGCCGCCGCGGCGAGGGGCCGGGCCGGGCCGGGCGGAGGTGAGCGGGGTCCTGGGAGGTGATGCCTGGCAACGCCGCCCGCGGGCAGGTGCGGGGCGGCGGGGGTGGGCAGGTGCGGCAGGTGCGGGCTAGCAGGTGCGGGTGGGCAGGTGCGACCTGTCCTCTGGGGTGCCCCCATCCCGCTGCGGCGCCCACGGCGGGCTTTGCGGCCGAGCTGGGGCCGGGGGCTCTGCCGCCCACCTGCCGGCACCTGCCACGCGTGCGTCGTGGTCTCTGGCAGACACGGCCCCGTGGGTGTCGAGGTCTTCCCACCCCTCCCCTGAGCCTTTGTTGCGGGCTGACCGAGGGGTGTAAGCGGCCCTCGAGGTCCTCCTGAGCGGTGGAGGCTGGCCGGGCCTTTGCCCCCACCTGGAGGTTCCTCGTTCTGGGGCCAGGCGGTCTCACCTTCACCGTGCGCCCCTCCGCTCCCACTTACTTGCCCACCAGCAGGGTGATGTGGGGGCGCGTGGAAGCCATCACTGGCCCCGGGAGTTGCGTCGCTCCCGGGCTGGACGACATTGACCTGTTAGTCTCCAGCCGTGGGTTTGATGGGGATACCCCTTTCCAAACCAGACATAGCTGGTTTGGAAGCTCAGGCGTGGGGGTGCCTTGTCCTCCCCCGGGTGCCTTGTCTTCCCTGGTGCCCTGTCCCTCCACCCGGTGCCTTGTTTACCTCTCCACCTGCCCTGACACCAGCACCGCCACCCCTGTGCCCAGTGAGGACACTCTGCCTTGGACCCTCCCTGCTCAGCAATGCTCTGTCCATTCTTCTTCCCTGGGTACCCTCTTTCCAGTAGTTACAGAACATCCGTGGTGGTGTCTTTAAGTCATTTGTGTTATCATCACAGAGGATTTCACAGGGACACACACAGAACATGTGACTTGGTTTAAGACTGTGATGGATGTGGATAAAATAGACACAGACTCACACCAAGTCCTGAGCCTTAAGAGTGGAAACAGGACAAGCGAGGGAATTTTGACCCAGCTGTACTGACCTCGAGGCCCTTGTCATGCCGGGGGGTGGTTGCAGACTGGCAGTATGAATGATAAAAAGTAGGTGAGAGAATTGCAGATGTAGACTTCTAAAGGACAGGCCCAGTATTTGGGGAGCATCCTGATTATTGAGATTGATCTCCAAAGCCTGACAACATGAAGGTGGTCATGTGTTCTCAGTCCTAGGGCCTCACCAGATACCCATCTTATACACTGTAAACTGAGGCCAGGTTAGAGTTGTCCCTTCAGCTGAAATATGCCACCTCCAGGCCATGGCTTATTCCTGGACTTTTTTATGAACTCCAGCATCCTGACTTAGTCCCACACTTAGGCTGGTCAGTGTTGGGGCCTCACAGGTAGAGTGGGCAAGGACTTAGCCATCTGTGCCTGTGAGCACCCCACCTTTTGGTACCAAGGATGCCACTCCTGCCCCACTCTGGAGCCATCACTTCTCTGAGACTCTGACCCCAACTTCCCTTGGGTTGGAACCTGACCCTCATCCTTGGAGACTGTGAGTCCTGATTTGTGACTTGTTGAGAAGGGTTGCCTCCTGTAGGGCTGCCCTGCTGGAGTCTGCCCCACTTGCTGGCCCTGCTCTTAGTGTCCAGGGAGACAGAGAAGTAGCAATGGTGTGAAGCTCAGGTTGACCAGCAGACTCGGGGGGTGCAACTGCTCTGGGACACCTGGGGAAGAGGTCTGGTTAGTAAGTTCTCTGTAGCTGTTTCTGGAGGAAGATATGAAATGACCCCCATAAAGTTGTGTGGCCTTCTAGACTGACCTCATGCCAGAGCTGCTCTGTAAAGGGGTCCTGGCGTCCAGGTAGAGTTGGGGTACAGGGAGAGCTCTAGGCAGTAAGCTCCCAGATGGGCATGGACCTTGCACAGTCCTAGGTCGGGGCCCCAGGTTTATTCCTAGCCCTGCCTCAGAGCCAGGAGGTGGGAGGAGGGTCTGTACACGTAGAATGCCTCCCTGTGATCAGGAGCGCAGGGTCAAGGATACTAGACCAGGGAAGTGGGAGCTGAGAGCCTTGCCCTCAGAAAGGAGACCAGAGCTTGGTAGGAAATCCCCTGTGTAGTGAGGAGCAAGCTCAGGGGAACTGGAAATGTTTGTGGTTTGTCCACAGCAGAGAGGCATCGGGGTGGAATTCCCCAGGCCCATGTGACAAAGGAGGCTGCTGTGGGCTCCCCACCCTCCTCCTGCCCTGTCTCCCTTCTCCCCACCTCTCTGCATTTCCTGCATCTGAAGCTCTCAAACTGTGGTCACTGGACCAGCAGCAGCATCTGCAAACTTGATACAAATGCAAGGCTTAGGCCCCAGCCCATCCGGCTGACTGGGGTTGGGGCTGGGCTGTCTGTTGTCACCAGCCCACTGGCTGATCTGATGCACGGAAGTTGGGGAGCTGCTGCCCTAGGTGACTTGAAATGAGGCAGTTCTGCATGGAGCACCGCCTGCCCTTCAAGTCCTCTGACCTGGGGGCTAGGGGTTTGACTGTCTGCCTTCCTGGTTCCCTTCCTTTGTTTCTTGGTACAGCAGAGTGGGCCAGGCCAACCCAGCCAGCCTTCTGGTGGGAAAAGACTGTCACGGCAGGTCTGAGGAGAGAGAGTGGGCTGTTCGTGATAGTTGTTTTGTAATTCAACTTTTTATTTTGAGCTAATTGGAGATTCCTATGCAATTGTAGGCAGTAACACAGAGAGGTCCCTTGTATCCTTTCCCCAGTTCCTCCAATGGTAACATCTTGCAATACTGTAGTAACAGCATCACACCCGGACACTGCATTGATACAGCCAAGAGGCTCCGTCCTGTTGCCTTCTCATCTTCACACCCACCTCCCTCCTGCCAAAATTGTAGAAATGGAGGAGAGATTAGTACTTTTCTCTCCTCTCCCCACATTTAAGCCCTGGCATCCACTAATCTGTTCTCCATTTCCCTAATTTTGGTATGTTAAGAATGCCGAATAGGCCAGGCGTGGTGGCTCACGCCTATAATCCTAGCACTCTGGGAGGCTGAGGCTGGAGGATCGCTCAAGGTCAGCAGTTTGAAACCAGCCTGAGCAAGAGCAAGACCCTGTCTCCACTATAAATAGAAAGAAATTAATTGGCCAACTAAAAATATATAGAAAAAATTAGCCAGGCATGGTGGCGCATGCCTGTAGTCCCAGTTACTCGGGAGGCTGAGGCAGAAGGATTGCTTGGGCCCAGGAGTTTGAGGTTGCTGTGAGCTAGGCTGACGCCACGGCACTCTACACCAGGCAAAGAGTGAGACTCTGTCTCAAAAAAAAAAAAAAAAAAAGAATGCCAAATAAAGGGAATCATACTGCCTTTTAGGATTGGCTTTTTCCACTCAGCGTAATTCCCTGGAGATCCACCCAGGTTGTTGCATGTCTTAGTAGTTTGTTCCCTTTTATTGCATCCAGGCTATGGATGTACCACAGTTGGTTTAACGATTCATCCATTGAAGGACATCTGGGCTATTTCCATTCTTTGGCCTTTATGAATAAAGCAGCTATAAACATTCATGTACAGGTTTTTATGTGAACATAGTTTTCATTTCTCTGAGATAAATGCCCAACAGTGCAAATGTCGGGTGGTAGTATGGTAGCTGCATGCTAAATTCTATAAGAAATGGCCATACTGTTTTCCGGATGGCTGTGCATTTTGCATTCCCACCAGCAACATGTGAGAGATCTAGTTTCTCCTTGCCAGCATTTAGTGATGTCACTATTTTTAATTTTAGCCATTCTGATAGATGTGTAGTGATATCTCATTGTGGTTTTAATTTGCATTTCCCTCCTGACAAGTGATGCTGAACATCTTTTCATATGCTTATTTTCCATCTGTATATTCTCTTTGGTAAAGTGTCTCTTCATGGTTTTTGCTTATTTTCTAATTCAGTTTTTTTTTTTTTAATTTGTTCTAAATACTACTCCTTTGTTGGGTATGTGACTTGCAAATATTTCTCCTGGCCTATAGCTTATCTTTTCATCCTCTCAGCAGTGTCTTTCATAGAGGAAAAATTTTTAATTTTGATGAAGTCTGGTTTATCAACTTTTTTTTTTTTTAATGCATCATGTTTTTGATATCAAATCTAAGAACTCTTTGCCTGGGCCAAGTGAGGTGGGTCACACTTGTAATCCCAGTGCTGTGGGAGGATCATTTGAGGCCAGGAGGAAGGTTATGGTGAGCTACGGTCGCACCCCTGCACTCCACCCTGGGCAACGGAGGGGAGGGGGACCACCCTGTCTCTTTAAAAAAGTTTATGAAAATACATAGGAAAAAGATCTCTGGGATCTTGGCCAAACAAAGAGTTCTTTTTGTTTTTTTGTAGGTCACTGCATCCTCTAACTCCTGGTCTCAAGTGATCCTCCCACCTCAGCCTCCCAAGTATCTGAGAGTACAGGCACGTACCACCACTAAAAATTTTTTATAGTGATAGAGTCTCACTATGTTGCCCAGGCTGGTCTCAAACTCCTGGACTCAAGTGATCCTCCTGCTTAGGCTTCCCAAAGGGATTACAGGTGTGAGCCATCACACCCAGACTCCTAAACATTTCATAGTTTATAAACTCTATAAGCCATTTGGGGTACTTTCTATATAAAGTGTGAAGTTTAGGTGTGTTTTTTTTTTTCTTTTAGTAGCCTGCTGATGTACAGTTGTTCCAGTATCATTTGTCAGAAAGGCCGTCCTGCTGCTGAATTGCTTTTGCGTCCTTGTCAAGCATCAGTATTTGTGTGGGTCTGTTTCAGGTTCTCTCGTCCCTTCTCTTGGCCCACAGTCTGTCCCTCTGTCGATACCACACAGCTTTGATTATTGTATCTGTCTTCTACTT